TAGCAAAGTATTTGTAGTAGTATAAGTTGAGAAATAGATATGGTATGAAAATAATAATAAAAAAGTGTAATGACTGAGACACTGTTGTCTCGAGATATTGTAGCATACCAGAAAATGATTCAGGGACCTACTTAGCAAAGTATTTGTAGTAGTATAAGTTGAGAAATAGATATGGTATGAAAATAATAATAAACGATAGAGCTTTAAATCGAATCGAAACAGCCTGTATGGCATTAAAATCAACAGTACAAATGAACTTTAAATCCAAGTATGAAAGATGTGGAAATTTATTTCATAGACTACTTCAGTAATAATCGGTGTGTGTCTATGTGGTGTAAAAGTAATGGCCAACAGTTGTGTGTAAGAGTTATGGGACACGCCATTAAACAAAAATGCCGAAGCATGTGAAGATCGATTTCATAAACATGCTTTCAATGATATTAGAAGCTGTAGCAAAAGTGTAGATTGAAATTAGATAACAAATGGTTGTTAAAAACAATGGGTACTGATGTTTTAAAATGAAACTAGAGTATGCTGGGTATTCAGGTGTGCAGGAACTTTATTTTGCAGACAAACTTGGAGTGGTGTTGGAGAAAGCTAAAATCCGTCGAGATAGCAGAGAAACAATGCGAAAAGTCTTACTTCTCAGCAGCATGCAGTACTTAAATAATATTATTTCGCATGATCTGGGGAGCTGTTGAGGTGCAAGAACAGTGTGGCAAGAAGAGACAGGCATGACTTCGTAATGTAAGGTAGGCTCCCTAAGGTATAATCGTAATAGAAGTACCAAGAAAGTAACCTGGAATTGCCAGCTTAAGGATTGCAGAGGTTAGTAAAAAGGAACATCGTTTATAAGATGTAATGAAAAATTAGAGAATGTTTAGAACCTAAGCTCATTTTAAAGATTTCGTGTGGTATGTGGAAGGTTAGCACGTTTGAACCTAAAAATTTGGTGCAGTGTGTTAAACAAGAGGCTGTTGTAATATGCAAGTAAAGCTTCTTTTGTTGAGGTATACGAAAAAAGATTTCGAACAATCAAAATAATAGAAGAGGCAAACACGTCAGTTTCGCACAGGTGTAATGAATAGTTTGGTATTAAGGGCCAGTGCCACGTATAGGGTATCTGGTAGTGTAAATTGCAGCACAGTCCTCTACCGAGTAGTTGCTGTGAACAGTAACAAACTGGTGGCAGTATAATATTTGTGGATGCCATATGAAGAAAAGGAAACAAACGCTTGCAACAAGAATGTAGAGGGCAATAGCAGGTCATTTATAACTGTAGCAGAGATGAATCTGCACTCCTCTCTTTCATAAATCGGAATTTTATAGCCTTTCTTTTTCGTCTATGTGTGTATTGAAGTGTTAAGTGGGTGAACTTGTTAGCTGGTTAGTGAAGATTATAGCCCAGGAAAAGTGTGGTAAAAAACGAAGACTAAGCATGGAGTGAGCATACCATCGCACGATGCGCTGAAACTCGATGCTTCGTGTGGAGTGTTGCTCGTTCCATGCTCGGTTCTGTTTCCCGATTGACTTATATATGTCATCTAAGCCATGTAGGTGTTCCATGTCACCTTACTGCTAATAAAATTTATGTGCTGGCATCTGTACTAGGAAAGCAAAGTCAAAAGGGTTAATTGTATTCATCAGCCATTTTTCCATTACTAACTGTTTGATAACATGGATGAAATCAGTGTTAAATCTGCTTTCCCTACAACTGGCTTGTTCTCCAGGTTGGGGCAGTTGTTTAATTTTCTCCTTGTCTTTAATAAACAACTTGTAAATCATCAAAAGTTGTGATCTGGTGAGCTGTTGAGGTGCATGAATGGTTTATAGCGTTGTCAGGTGTTGCACGTAAAACTTCCAAGTCTTGCTCATATTTCTTCTGCTCCAGGGTTATTTTCAAACGACATAGTTCAGTGTAGATTTCCTGCGACACCTGGAACTGTTAGTAATATTTCCTCTGCTTGCCATTTAGAGCATGCATTTTATTCCTTCCTAAACTTTGTCTCTTTTTTGATAATGCTTTTTTGTACCTTTTGTACCACTGCCTTTCTCGTTTTAACATTGTAGTTCCTTATGTTGCCAACTTTCTTCTTATTTATTAGCTTAGCTCTGCAAGCTCCTTATTTAGAACTTGACTCGGTCTCCTTGCCTTGGTGCTTTACCTTCCACTTCAATAGTCACTTCATCGGTTAATCTATAGTTAGTTTCATTAATTTTTTGACATCAGTTTTCCTCCTGTCCAAAATCTTCGTATTTGTTCTAAAGTGCAATTATATGTTCCGATTTTATTGTTAATTTGACCCAGTTGGCTCATCTTTTGGAGGTCGATGTCGCTCGATATCCCAAAATAAACACTATCCTCGCCCTCTTTGACCCATAACGCTTACCTTGCTTATGTTGTCACCGTCCTGTGCTATACCTAGGTTGCTGTGCAGCATAAGCTTTATTTCGTCAGCAGGCCTACGAACTAGGGAAGAGGCAAGATCTCAATGTCCTCACTTAGAGGGCCTAGGCTATGTCATTCAAATTGCCGGCTCGCAATGAAGTTTGTTCCTCCTCCTCATAGTTGTCTGTGGTTGCCGTGCAGTGAGAGATGTAGTTATTTCTACGTTTGACTATTTGGACTTTTCCAGCAAACTTGCTCTATGAATTCTATTTCTCTCGGTAAAGCTTTTCTTCAGGCTAGTTAGTGCATTCTTAGAAACCATTTGGTCTATGCAAAAAAAAATAGACGAAGAAGCTCAGAGGGGGAGGGGGTTAGTGTGTCTGCTAGTTAGTTAGGGGGGGGTTAGCACGTCTGTTAGTTAGTTGATCGGAGAAATATTGAGCTTGCAGGGTACCTAACGGCTAAAACAATTTGGAGTCCAAATGGAAGCGATTAAAATGTTGTTTAAATCAATAAGTTGTAACAAAGATAATGATACACTATTGAACCAAAATCAGTTCTTGCATATGAAAACTGGTTGTTGAAATGTAATATCAAAAGAAGTTGAATGAAATATGAATAATGGTACACTATTAGATGGAGATACAAGAACACTGTGAAAATAGTAGGTAGTGATCGATATTGAAGTACAGTGTTAGATTTGATATGTGTACTCACACTGGTATGCAAAGAATTAGCATGGGTCGAGATAATACAGCGTAATTGGTCTTCCACAAAAAGTGTGACTGTTGTGCAACCAGAACAAGGAATATGATACTTCTCTGGCGTCATCAGGGCAATTTGCCTTGTCGGGGAAAAAGACCGGAAACATGATAAGACAAGAATATTGATTAGGGAGGAAATAGAAAGGGGCATGGAGGTTGACCAGAACTAGGAACGTGATAATTACAGGTGGTGTAAGGGCAATTTACTTTATTAGGAAAAAAAAAAAAAGACATGAGTATAAGAGTATCAATTAGAGAAAGTGTGTGAAAGCCATGGAGGTCTACCAGAACTAAGAATGTCTTGCTTCTCTGGTGGTTTAGATCAATTTGCCTTATCGAGAAAAAGAACAGATTTGACGAGTCTAGGAATGTTGGAGAAAATAGATAAAGCGATAGAGGGTTACCAGAACTAGGCATATGATGCTTCTCTGGTGGTTTATAGGCAATTTGCCTTACCAGGAAACGGAACAGAAACATTCCGAGACTAAGAATATTGATTAGAGAAAAAAGAAAAAGGCATGGAGGTCGGCCAGAACTAGGAACGTGTGATACTTCACTGGCGGAGTAAGGCCAGTTTACCTTAATGAAAAAAAGAAGACATGAGTCTGGAAAAGGCATGGAGGTCAGCCAGAACTGGGAATGTAATACATCTCTGGCAGTTTGAGGGTAATTTGCCTTACTGAAAAAAAAAGTATAGAAATATTAATTAAGAGAAAGTGTGGGAAAGCTATTGAGGTCAACCAGAACAAAGAATGTAATACTTTTCTGGCGGTATAAGGGCGACATGATGCAGTAGTAATGATGTTTTAATGTGCTGAAAAAAAAAAGGAATTAAAAAGGAATTAAAAAAAGGAATTAAATTTTGGAAATAAAACAGAATGCAATTTGAGCACTGTGGAATAAGGAATTAAATTTTGGAAATAAAACAGAATGCAATTTGAGCACTGTGGAATATCATGTTCTTAGGTGTTGTAAGGTTGGATAAACATTAGCATACAATGAGGGCATAGCCATGGTCATATGCATTTTCATCACCGTTTCCCCCATTAGAGCTTAACAAGTTAAGTGGAAATATCAGGGTAAGTTTTTGTGTGGTGTGTCTAATGCATCACATTTGGATGGTGATGGTTGAAAGGGTTTCTGTTGACTGGAGTAGACATTGGAAGAATGCCATGCAAGTTCGACTGTGTTTCACTTTGTAATAAAAATAAACTGGAGCGGAATAGGGGCAGGTGCTAGGGGAGAAGGGAGCCTGCCACACAATATAAATGGCCAATCTTCCAATGTCTGCTAACAAAGTTGCATAGTACAGTCTGTGGAAGTGGTGTGTGATAGCACTTTTTCTTGTGGCATCTTCATCTCTGCTGCCACTGCAGAAAGTGCCATTTGGTTTCATTACTGCAAATTATAAATCAGTTCTGCAATAGATAAAATGGTTCTGCAATAGCATGAAATATCACAATTTTAGGGTGTCTGCAGTGCATTCCCACAAGACTGACAGGACAACAATATTATGAAACTTGGCTGTTGTGCCTTGATGGTTGATTGTATTAAATGTTGCGACACAATCAGTCACATTTTCGTGACTCTAAATTGAGATGTTTAAGGGTAGAATTTAGGAACTTATTGCACTAGGCATGCTGGCTATGCCTATTGTATGCAAAAACACAAAACAAAAAAGACAGATGCGACACACACTGGTGCTAACTTGCTACAGTATTTCCAAAACAAGTTACCGCTTATGTAGGCAACATTACTTATCTTGATTACAGGCACTTTGCACCCATCCTGAAACATTGTTGCAAGTTGTGCCCATATGTGTTGATTTTTCTGTTTTTTTTTTTTTGTGTGTGTGTGGGCTATAGAACTACAGTACTATGAGGAACTGCCAGTAGAGCGTGTTGTAATATATGTGGTCATGATGGTGAAGCGTTGCAATGATTGGAGACTTGAACAGCAAAAGCTCTCCTAAGGTTTTTTTTTTTAGTGTTTCATCAGTATGTATGATGTTTGCATATTTGTGCTAATGCCTCATGGTATTTAGTACTGTTGTCAAAATGAAGAATATCAACCTTTTGTATCCCATTGGCCATACTTATATTACGTCATAAATGCAGTTACGATGAAAAGCAAGATTTCACTAATGCCTACTGAAGTGCATATGAATGAGGGAATAAAAAGACTGCTGGTATGACACATTCATCATTGGAGCATTCATAATTAGCAATATCAAAATTAGTGTGTGGACCTTTATTGTGGCCTTTTACAGCGTGTAGGCCCGATCATCGCATGCTGTATGCCTGGTGTCCAAGATGAGCGTTTTTCTTCCTCAATTAAAATCAAATAATTCAGAAACTTAAGAACTGGAGCGAACATAATAAAAGCACACTGGCAGCTTGAAACTCTCTATTATTTTGTGGGAAATTGCCACAGCTTACACAAGTTGATGCTTGCAGGTATCTTCAAACAATCCCAACAATTATATTTTTAGGCACTGGATAGCTCAATAATGTCTAGCGGTATATATTGTCTACATACATGAGCCCTGGAATAATCTAGCAAAATAATCTGTGCTCTATTATTATTGTTCTTAAGTCCTCTACCTTTCTGGTGAGGTTATTCTTCAGGTACAAGAACACAACAGAGGGGTAATATAATTTGTTTTATTGTGATTGTCCTGTAGTTTATAACACTTGTAATGAACACTCATTCAGGTGCGCCAACACCACAAAGAGGTAAAGAAAGCTGATAAGAGAGTTTCACTAATGTTGCACTAACTTGGTAATTTTCGTCAAGATGGAAAGAAAGTGCTACGTTTCTGCTCGCAACTTACTGGATCAATAAAAAGTATTGCCATTATTTTCTGGTGTTTTTTCTCTCTTGCTGCAGTGGTGGCATACACACACACAAAAAAGCTACCATGAATTGATGTAAGTCACTTTGTTTCATATACAAAACTCAAATAAAATAATTTCATTTGATAACTTAAATATACATTTGATAACTTAAATATACACAGTTGCTGCACCAGTGTGGTTTGGTTACTTCCAGCACACACAGACATTGGGATCCTTGTCAAGTATGTCGTCCAGCTCTTTGTAGCTCATCCCTGTTGAAAAAATGCACCAATTGAACTTGACTGCCTGCGTGTCAATTGCAATTAGTGTAGGACACTCACCAGTCTTGGCACAAATGTCATCATAGCTGTGAGCTCCATCGAAGTACTTAGAAACAGATTTAATCTTCGAAGTACTGTCAGCTGCCCGCTTCAAGTCTATGGGATACTTGTGCAACCGACGGAGGAGGCCCTTCATGACTCCATATTGCACAAGCTTTCTGATCAGCCACATGTAAAGGGGGAGAAAACAAACCCCGAGGTTGCAGACCTTTTTTTGTACATAAGTGATGACAAACCAAGCTATTGGTCTTCTTTTTTTTTTCTTTGAAATTATCACTTAAATAATTGGTTGTTCTCAATAATGCGTCTCAATGAAAAGTGGAGTTTTCCTTGTTGCAACAACGCGTGGCATGACTCCCAATTTGGAGGTTGTCGCTTTGGATCTCTGGCAAATTGAAAGCAAATCTGCGAGCCCTTTAGGCTGGAAAGTTGTTTACTCAAAAAAAAAAAAAAACCACTTCAACAATAGACCCAAATAAATTAAACCATTCAAGTAATGTACAGGCGGCATTAATATGTAGCAATTATGATTGCCTCTTAGTCTGTCAGTGGAATCAAAACCCAAGACCTAGTAATCAAGTCCTTTTAAAGTAAATTGTGCCCTCCCTAGTGTGTACAAGGTAATCCTCCCAATATGGATAGATTATAGCTGAACCTCTGAAAATGTGTAGCGAGTGCCTACAATAAAAGTATGAATTTAAATAGGCTGCACATGTGTGAACTGTTGTGTACTAGACATAGGGATGGGCATTCTAGTGGATAAGTAGAATGCATTAGGGTTAAACTTGAATTGGGCAGTATCGCCTGTTTATTAGTAGGCTACCAGCATTCAAAAAGGGTAGGACTATATGAGCATTAAATTAAAAATATAGATGTCTGAAAGCCATGTAACAAGTCTCTATATTTCTCACAATTTTTATAACATTTTTAAGCACTGATGCCTTCACTTTCGATGACGATGTTATGTAAAATGCACAGTCTCACCGTTCATCTATTCCAAGGCTGTGTGGATTAGTCCGAGCACAGACATCTCGAACACTGTTGCTCAGGTGAAAACTGCAGTACATCTCGAATATTGACCTAAATGTTGGTCGTGGTCGACCTAAAACAACAAAAAAAGTTCATGAGCAGCTGATTGACAGTCTTAATTAGATCAGGGAAGATTAAACATTTTGACAGGCAGTATTATTACGGAGTGTACAATGCAAGTTGGACGTATTGTAGTTAGATTGGACTCTGGTAAGCTGGCCCAGGAGACAAACTTCAATAAGAAACGTCAAAAGCATAAAACCTCGAACAACGAAATAGAAGTGGCACAACTTTCGAAGTTGATTAGCAAGCGTAAGTTATCTGATGCTAGAAGGTATAGGAGAGAATTGAACACACTCTGAAAGAAAGTGTTGAAGCGGAGAAGACTAAACTTGGCATAGGCTAAAACCAGAGGTATGCACCAAGGGACAAGGACTGCGAAGTAACTACCAATATGAATAGGATATTTAAAATAAGGGAGGCGTTTTACAGGTGTCTGTACAGTAGCTGCGACAACTGCGACCATAATGTAAGAACTAACAGTAACCCAAATGACATTTCACCAGTAATGACAGAAGTAGTCAAAAGAGCCTTGGTGGGGGAATGTGAAGAGCCAAAGCTGCTGAGGATCAGGTAGCATCAGATCTGCTGAAAAACTGAGGACAGATTGTGTTATAAATATTAGCCACCCCGTTCATGAAGAGCTTTTGATGGGGAGGGTGCCAGAATTTCGGAAGAATGCTAACATCAAAATACATAGAGGAGATAAGGACCTGAAGAATTGCAGACCGATCAGCTTGCTCTCCACCTTATACAAGCTATTTACAGAGGTAATAGCTAACAGGATTAAGACAGCAGAATTCAATCAACCAAAGGAACAAGCAGGATTTCGAACAGGATACTCGACAACCAACCACATTCATGCTAGCACGTAATCAAGAAATGCTCCGAATACAGCCAACCACTATTATAGCCTGCATAGATCAAGAGAGGGCATTCGATTCAGTAGAAATATCGGCAGTCATGCAGACACTGCAGAATCGGGGTGTTGACAACTCTTATCTAAACATCCTGAAACAAACCTACAGAAGACCAACTGCCACCATAGTGCTGCATAAAGCAAGCAACGGGATACCGATCCCAAGAAATATATCACCCTCAATGCTACTTACCACATGCTGAAAGGAGGTTTGTAGAGGCCTAGAATGGGAAGAGTTTGGAATGAGAGTTATTGAAGAGTACCTTAGTAACCTGCGCTTTGCCAATGCATAGCCAACTAATTTGGGGGACGAGTTGCAACTCGTGATTATTGAATTAAACGAGAGTAGAAAGGTAGTTTTAAAATAATATGCAAAAAAAGTAATGTACAACAACTTCTGAATAGAACAGCACTTCGAGATGGGTAATAAAGCAGTTGAAGTCTACTTAGGACAGGTAATAACCGCGAAGCGGAACCACGGGGTTAACTAGAAAAAGAAGGGCGGAGCACATTTGGGAAGCACCATCAAAGCATGACTGGTAGATTTCCACTGTCCCTCCAGAGGAAAGTACATAACAGTTGTGTCTTGCCACTACTTGCAGATGGCGCGGAAGCCTGGAGGCTTACAAAGAGGGTTCAGCTTAAATTGAGGACGACGCAGCGAGCGATAGGTAAATGATAAGTGTAAACTTAGGGCAACAAGAAGAGAGCAGAGTGGATCGGGGAACAAACTGGGGTCAAGATATTTGAAATCGAGAAGAAATGGACATGAGCTGGGCACATAGCCTGTAGGCAGGATAACCGCTGGTCATTAAGGGTAACTGACTGGATTCCCAGAAAAAGAAAACGGGCTAAGAGGAGACAGTCAGGTGGACAGATGAGATTAGGAAGCTTGCGGGTATTAAGTGGCAGCAGCAAGCACAGGACCGAGTTGACTGGCGGAACGTGGGAGAGGCCTTTGTCTTGCAGTGGACATATGATGATGATGATGATGTAGTCTTTAAAGCAGCATCTACCTAATTTAGTGTATGAATGTGTATGTTTTGCACCCTGCCTTCCAACCCATACAAGAGAGGAGAAAAATGGGGGTGGGGTCAAAAGGGAAGAGAGAGTGACGAGCAACAAAAAAATATGATGTGGGGGGGTGGGGAAAGGTAGCTTCCTACATTAGGACATGAATCCCCCACCCCTCGCTTCATCATTCTTTAATCTTTTCAGTTTACTTCTGACACGCCCAATAAAGCTTGCCTGCCCCACCCTTGTTTTCACAGTTGCCCTTCCCTCATCATCATCAGCCTGACTACGTCCACTGCAGGACAAAGGCCTCTCCCATGTTCCGCCGGTTAACCCGGTCTTGTGCTTGCTGCTGCCAATTTATACCCGCAAACTTCTTAATCTCATCTGCCCACCTAACCTTCTGTCTCCCCCTAACCCACTTGCCTTCTCTGGGAATCCAGTTTGTTACCCTTAACGACCAGCGGTTATCCTGTCTATGCGCTACATGCCCGGCCGATGTCCATTTTTTCTTCTTGATTTCAGCTATGATATTCTTAACTCCCGTTTGTTCCCTAATTCACTCTGCTCTCTTCTTGTCTCTTAAGGTTATGCCTACCGTTTTTCTTTCAATTGCTCGCTGCATCGTCCTCAATTTAAGCTGAACCCTCTTTGTAAGTCTCTAGGTTTCTGCTCCATAGCTACCGGCAAGATACAGCTGTTACATACTTTCATTTTGAGGGATAATGGCAATCTACCTGTCATAATTTGAGAGTGCTTGCCAAATGTGCTCCACCCCATTTTTTTTCTTCTAGTTACTTCAATCTCGTGGTTTGGCGCCGCGGTTATTACCTGCCCTAAGTAGACATAGTTTTTTACAACTTGAAGTGCACTATTACCTATCTCGAAGCGCTGCTCTTTTCCGGGGTTGTTGTGCATTACTTTCGTTTTCTGCAGATTAATTTTAAGACCCACCTTTCTGCTCTCCTTGTCTAACTACGTAATCATGAGTTACAATTCGGCCCCTGAGTTACTCAGCAATGCAATGTCATCGGCGAAGCGCAGGTTACTAAGGTACTCTCCATTAACTCTTATCCCTAACTGTTCCCTATTCTAGGCTTCTGAAAACCTCCTGTAAGCACGCGGTAAATAGCATTGGGGAGATTGTGTCCCCCTGCCTTACACCCTTCTTGATTGGTATTCTGTTGCTTTCTTTATGAAGCACTATGGTAGCAGTTGATCCCCTGTAGATTTCTTCCAGGATGTTTATATATACTTCATCGACGCCCTGATTCCGCATTGTCTGCATGACGGCTGATACTTCTACTGAATCAAACGCCTTCTCGTAATCTATGAAGGCTATGTATAGTGGTTGGTTATATTCTGAGCATTTCTCTATTACCTGATAGATAGTATGAATGTGGTCGATTGTTGAGTAGCCTGTTCGAAACCCTGCTTGTTCCTTTGGTTGATTGAATTCTAATGTTTTCTTTACTTTGTTAGCAATTACCCTTGTAAATAGCTTGTATACTACAGAGAGCAAGCTGATCGGTCTGTAATTCTTCAAGTTCTTGTGATCTCCTTTCTTATGTATTAAGATGATGTTAGCGCTCTTCCAAGACTGGTACTCTTCCCGTCAGGAGACATCTCGTTAACAGGGTGGCTAGTTTTTCTAACACAATCTGTCCTCCATCTTTCAGCAGATCTGATGTTACCTGATCCTCACCAGCAGCTTTGCCTCTTTGCATGCTCTTCAAAGCTTTTCTGACTTCTATCATTACTGGTGGGGTGTCATCTGGGTTACTGCTAGTTCTTATAGTATTAAGGTCGTGGTTGTCTCGGCGACTGTACAGATCTCTGTAAACTCCTCTACTATTTTAACTATTCTATCCATATTGGTAGTCATTTTGCCTTCTTTGTCTCTTAGTGCATACATCCGATTTTTGCCTATCCCAAGTTCCCTCTTCACTGCTTTGACGCTTCCTCCAATTTTCAGAGCGTGTTCAATTCTCTCCATGTTGTACCTTCTCACATCGCATACCTTACGCCTATTATTCAACTTTGAAAGCTCTGCCAGTTCTATTTTGTCTGTTGTACTTGAGACTTTCATGATTTGTTGCTTCTTAATGAGATTCTTCGTTTCCTGAGAAAGCTTGCCAGTGTCCTGTCTAACTACCCTGCCTCCAACTTCCACTGCACACTTCGTAATGATACTCATCAGATTATTATCATTCATTGTATCTACGCTAAGGTTGGTTTCCTCACTAAGAGCCGAGTACCTGTTCTGAAGCAAGACTCTGAATTCCTGTACTTTCCCTCTCAGTGCTAGCTCATTGATTGGCTTTTTGCGTATCAGTTTCTGTCGTTGCTTCTTCAAGTCTAGGCGAATTCGAGACCGTATCATTCTATGGTCACTGCATCGTACCTTGCCAACCACTTCCGCATCCTGCACAGTGCCTGGGTGTGCACTCATTATAAAGTCTATTTCGTTCTTATTTTCGCCATTAGGGCTTCTCCATGTCCACTAGCAGTTTCCTCGTTTTCGGTAGAAGGTATGCAAAATCCGTAAATTATTGCGTTCTGCAAATTCTGCTAGTAGCTCTCCTCAGGTGTTTCTAGTACCGATGCCATAGTCTCCTACTGCCTGGTCTCCAGCCTGCTTCTTCCCTACCTTTGCATTAAAGTCTCCCATCAGTATAGTACACTGTGTTTTTACCTTACTCATTGCCGATTCCACGTCTTCATAGAATCTTTCAACTGAAGCGTCATCATGGCGGGATGTAGGTGCGTAAGCCTGTACTACCTTCATCCTGTATCTTTTATTCAGTTTTATTCATCCGACCTGGCGTGTCTGTTAAGTTATTTGCAGACGATTGCATAATTTTTAATACCATAAATTCTATCTCTGACCAGCGTGACTTGTGTGAGAACTTAATCTACATAAAAGAATGGTGTAAAAAGTGGGAAATGGTAATTAATTTTGAGAAAACTGCATATTTATGTCTGAGTAACAAAATCCGAAAACTGGAGTTTACTTATAATGTAGGTGGATACGCTATCAGGCAAGTAGAAGAATTCAAGTACTTGGGCGTAACGATTAC